AGCGTAGATGGGCTATATATATATATAGGGGAAAGAGCAACAGTGGCTCCCTACGCGTTAATTAAAAGAAAAGGTACAGAGAATGGAGGGGGGGAGGATCCCCTTCTCAGAAACCAAAAATACATTTAAACACACCCCTAGTATATATATATATTAGAAAAAATCTTAGGACAAATATATTAATACGGAAAATATACAAAAATGTTATATAAGATGGTCTAAACGAAAGCCCAACTCATACAATACAACATACACAAAAACAAGATAAAACAAAGATACATAAATGTAAAAAACCCAAAAGCCACAAAAATGGCACAAAACGTGCTAGAGACGTCCCACTTTAGTCCTTCTGTCTCTAGTTCTTGGAAATGAGTCGGCTAACAAATTAGTAAGGTGAGTATTATTGCCTGTAGTAACCAAAGTATCATCCAGATTCCTGAGTTCAAGTAGATCGTCATTCTTCTTCTTCCTCCTGGATGTGTAGGCCTATCATTCCTCATCCGATAACTGACTTATTTGATCAGTAGATTCCAAAGGTGGTCGAACAGGTGTAGTTCGTTGCACGTCTTGATCCCCATGGGTATGAGTAATATTAACATCTTTCTGGACATAATGGGGCGGTAGTAAAGCAGTAGAAGTATTTCCACCTGTATTAACAGTAATAGGTTCTAGGGCAAGCGGGGTCTGAAAAAACTCCCTCTCTCCCACGATAGGAGGTTCCAAAGATGACGGAGCTACAACTGGGGACTGAATAGTTGTCATATTGCCTGCATGGATAGTGACGTCATCCGGGATATCCTTTTGATGATCAATAGTGTCAAAAACTAGGAGCTGATGAGGAGGAGGAGGAGATGGAATCACAGCCTCTAGCGGAGCAGGGAGCAGTTTGTTTTTTTGGTCTGAGTCGGGGGTGTAAACAGTGACATTGAGAGTTGGAGTGTCCGAACATACGACAGTTCGAACAATAAGATGGAAATGTTCAATCTCTACTTTCTGCCAATATCTATGGTGTTGTGTGCCCAGCCAGATTTTCTCAGAAGCAGGTGAAGTGATGTCTCTTTCAACAAGTACACTGGCTTCAGAAAACGGGATCGATTAAAAGTAGGAATGTCCGTCTTGAGTGGCTTCCCATAAGCTGAGGCAATAGAGTACAATATTTTTTGAGAAAAATAATGAAATGAGTAAAATAATGAAATTTCAGACCAGTGAGATGAATCCAAACCGAAATGATTGATGGTTCCGTCTGTGGGGCAAATTCCACAGACTATTTCAGAATCTTCATTTGCTCTGTTATCAATACATATTATCCTTCTAGCAAATAAACGCATGTAATCGCCTTCATTACTAATTTGAATAAGAATGTGTCTCTCATCTAATAGTCCAATTTTTCATTCTTCAACAAGGTGCATAAGTTCAAATTCTTTGTGAATGAGCTCTATTTTGGGATGACCATATAGAAATTTCCCAACTAAATTCAGACGACAGGAGGAAGCAAGTTGAATAAAGAAAGCAAGTTGAATATCTTAAGCTGCTGTAAAAAAGATGACAGACCTTCCATTCTTCCTACCAGGTTTCTTGATGTCCTCCGCCCACTCAAACGACAGAGGGAAAGATGACGATTTTGGTGTGCCTGAGACGTGGACACCGGCAAGGACAGTTGCATACGATTTATCCGAAGTCATCCTCAAAGAAAGGTATGACTTTCAAAGTTCAGAGAAGAAAGCAGACGAGGGAAAAATCGGCGTCGAAATAGAAGTTGTGAGACGGCGCAGAGGACGCAGAGAGATCACGAGCGGTACCAGTGAGCCGCAGAACACGCGATTGGACAGGCCGCAGAGGAGCTGCAGAGCCTGGAAAATCTCGAGCCAAGAAAGCTCGCGAGACCGGAAGACGGAGACGAGCCTCATCTTGTCTTAGAGAGAGGAAGCAGCAGGGCAGACGAACGAATCGAGCACGAAGACGCGAGAGGAAGGAGCGACCGTAATTGTTGCTAGGGTTCGCCATCGGGCGAAACCCTAGCAAAGCCGAGCGAGGAAGACGACGCCATCGAGCACTAAAAGGCCCAAACATGACACCCTGTCCACACCAAAACCACAAGAGGTTCCAAAACTAGAAAATACAGAAAAGTACAGTAGAGACAAAGAAAAAGTCCAAAAATGCTGAAATACATAGTATCAGGTGGCTAGAGAGCAAGTCAATTTGGTTTTGACTCTGCCTCTGGTTCTAGGGAAGGAGCAAACTAATAAGTTAGTAAGATGATTGTCATTGCCAGTAGTAATCAATGTATCATCCAATATGTTCCCTAGCTGGAGTCGGCCTCCATTCATCTCCGTCCTCCTGTAATAGACATGTCATTCCTCTTCCGAAGATTGGCTCACCTGATCTTGGTCTACAGTGTGTTAGAGATGTACATATTGTTGGACATTAGAAGCAACTACATGTTGTACCGGCTGATCTGTTATTGGATCAAAGGAGCACTCTCGCGTAACATTCTCGTGTGTCTTGGCATGTAAGTGATTCTTCTTCAATAATAGTGTGTAGTATAAGCACAACTGGATCTGTAACTGTAGTATGTTGTTCTTCTTCAGGAACTGCCGTGTTGGGAAGAGGATCGGGTTGCATCTTCTCAACAGGGATAATAGGATCTCAACAGGGATAATAGGTGGTTGTTCTTTAGTGATATTCAGCCTTAGATGGGGATGCAAACGATAGCAAATAGTAGAGATGTGACCAAACATGTTACAATGAGAGCAATAAAGAGGGTGTGGTTCGATTTCAACATTTTGCCAATACCCGTTGTTCACCCGTTGTGAGTGGTTCCAATCAACACCTCATCCGGAGCTGGTTGAGTGATGTACCTCTCAACTAACACACAAGCCACAGAGGGTCTGGTGACAGCAAGCATAGGACTAACAAACCTGAGAGGCTTATCGTAAGCAGTTGCTAAGATGTAGAGAATTTCCAAATTGAACAGATGTAATTTTAACCCCGGTAATTTTATCCAAATTGAAATGATAGGGGACTCCGCCTTTGAGTCAAAACCAACAGTCCACTTTAGAATTTTCATATTACGGTTGTCGATCTTCATAACTTTCCGAGAAAAGATGCGAGTATAATCAACATCATGAGACAACTGAATCAGTATGTGCCGACAGTCAAATAAACCAATATTCCAACTGCTCAATAGTTTCATAGCCTCAAACTCTTTCCGAATGATCTCCAATTTTGGGCGACCATAAAAAAGTTTCCCCACTAGAGCAAAACACCAAGAGGAAGCGAGAGACTGGTTTCAACTTCTGTGAGAATAAGACTAGAATTCCCTTTTTTTTCCCCAGTTTTTTTATGAAGGTGTGATCGCCACCCCCTTCAAGAGCATCGTGAAAGATTGAGGAACATTGCAAGATTTACCTATACGAAAACCAGTCTCTGATTCTGAAAGAAGAGTAGGAATCGAAAGGTCGTCGGCAAGTGCAGTAGCATAAGAACGAATAGCCATCTCTGCCAACAAGATTCTGTCGGACAGGAAGCAAGGAGAAGAGCAGTGCGCGACCAAGCAAGCAGAGCAGCAGCTCTGTCGCCAAACCGACGCGACGCGAGGAAGGCGTCCTGGATAGATGAGGACGTCGTATGGAAAGAAATGCGAAAACTCGGCCTGCCTTGTCGTCAGGAAGGATGCGAAGATGCGAGCCTACCGGCAGAAACAACAATAACGCGACGAAGCGAGCACCGACGTCGAAGACGAAGCAAGGAAATAGAAACGTGAGAGAGATCCGTGTAGCAAAGCTAGGGTTCGCTATGAGGCGAAACCCTAACAGAGGGGAACGACACTATGCCGGCACAATATATATACATATGTATATATATATATCTACATATATATGTATATACATATATATGTAGATATATATATATATATATATATATATGTATATATGCATGTTTGGTTATGATGGAGTTACCCCTTTATGGTACTAGCAGAGGAATGCTGAAGTACCCATGCACGTAAATAAAAAATGATATTGATATTGAAGTATCTTAACTGGCAAAATTTTTTTACGGTGCTCCTATGACAATTGTACGGATATATAATGATATAGATATGTTATTGATATAATAAAACACATTGAATACATTGAAATATCGTAAGTGGTCATATTCATAAACTATCAAATGTTTTATCCCGATTTAGTAAAAACTTAATCAGCATGCATATTATTTTCTTTTCCCTTGTAGTAATGTAATTTAGAAGTGTGATTATTTAGTATTTTTGTTAGCTAACTGTTGTTTTAAACTAATTTTTCATATGAAAATAATTGATTACAAGATTAACAATAGAAGAGAAAATGTTTATAGAAAATATGGACAACCTATAATAAGGTAAATTTAATTCTACAACGTTAATTTTATTTCTTTAATAACTCTTTTATTTGTTAAAAGTTAGTTATAAAAAATGAATATAGAAAACTTAATTTCAACCGTTTGACCGTCTGCACCCGCTTCGGTTAATTTCAAATCCCGGGCCGGGTTGTGACACAAGATTTTGCTCTTGTGAATCACTCATCTCTACAGTCTTTGTCTCTCATCCGCACGTGGGGTCTTCGATGCTAACTTCGCACCACACCAACAAGCGTCGTCGTCAATTTTGTTGGTGTTGGTTCCCATGTTCGTCATTCGCTCGCTCGCTCTCTCCCTATCTTTTCTTCTAGGTTTCAAACAAGAAGGGTCTCATTTGCCTCCTAATTGACGTAATCGAATTGCCGATTAAGTTGAACCGATACAGTTGGTTCGAATTTTATTTGTTTTATTTTTCCAGTTATTAAAAAATGGGTCATTAACTGTACCAACAGCTAAGGTATGCATGACATCTCCAAGACTTCCATAAATTAACATGTAAAGTTTCAAAGCTGAAGGAAGTTTATTTAAAAAAAAAAAAAAGAGGAAAATAGATAATTAGAAAATTCAATGAAAAATTTTACATAAAATAGAAAACATATACTAACCAAACTGAATTTGATGTCAGGGATTCCATCTCTGTAGTCGATCTCACCTAAGGTCTCAACAAAATCCTAAAACACCAATTAAATAAGCATAAAAAAATGAATCAGGTCAACACTTTGTTAAAACGATTTAAAGCATGCTGGCTCAGTAAAAAGGGAAAGGATTCTTAAATAGATCACGCTTGATCCTCTAAAAAAAGGTACACATAACATTGAGATAGAGCTTTTGGATGGAGCTTGAAAAAAAAAATCACTCAACCGGAGATTCACAAGCCGACTCTAATATCTATGTAGATATGAATTTGAAACCTCAATTCACGCTTTTATTCAGTAGAAAGTGGGAAAAAAATTGGAAAAAGGTTATAATTTTATAATTTATACGTGTCAAACTTTCAAAGCAAGCCAAACTAGTTTCAAACGTTTCTGTTGTTTTCATGTACTCGAGCACGGTTATATTTCAAGTACATGAAAAATAAAAGTTGCCTCATTTGAGTGTCTAATTATAGCTATTCATTAGCTCATATTGCATAAACCAAAACTGAGGACGGCGTGTAAGACAAATGAGAAAACTTGTAAAGAAAATTAGAATTTTAGTAAATGAAAAAGCAAAACTTAAATTAGGCAACATAGGTAGGAGTACCGCTGTCACACGACGGATATTAGTTCCCGGCCTTACAACATCCATTGAGGCCAAATCACCAAGAAGAGCTTCCCAGTCTCCATATACAATATGGACTATGGATGCAAGCATAGCAATTTGATGTTCTTGTTTCATCCGGCAAAGAAGACCAAAATCCAAAAATCTGAAAGGCACATATGCATAGCTCAGAAAGATTAAGCATATATAAGTTAAGTGATACTGGCCAAACAACAACAAAAAAATTAAATATTATTACAGGAAGCAAATATGTGGTTAAAATTAAACACACTCAATAAGAAAAATACAACACACGCGAAACATAAATTCACATTAGGGCAGATCCCGGGTGAAGGTGGTGAAGGTGGTGAAGGTTAGGGGGTTTGGAGAGGTGGCACAAAGGTAGGGAAGGGGTTTATGAACTATGGATGAGGGACAACAACGATTATGGGAGGTTGGAACAACGGGGTGGGAAGGGATGGAAGTCTAAACAACGGCAGTTTGTTGTTTGGCGCAGCTAGACAAATAACAAAGGTAAGGAGTTGCAACTGTGGCAGCGAGGGTGGAGAGTTAGGAGAGTGAGGGGCAGCAAGGAGGGAGGGCTGGAACAACGAAGGAAGTGAGTATGTGATGGAAGGTTGTGAGCTGTCATAAACAGCAGGAGGGAGGGTTGTAGGTTGATTTGGAAGGAGGACAGCATGTATGGTGCAAGGAAGGGGGCTGGAACATGGAACAGCAATGGCAGCAAGTGCGGGTGCTGGAACCGCATGGAACTTGGGCTGGAATGCAAAAAGTGCAGGAAGAACAGCGTCGACAGTTGTTCTAAATGGCTGTAGCAGGGAACGACGGGCGGAAGAAGTGTGGGGAAGATACAGACGGAGAATGGAGAATAAAACCTCGGAAAAGAGATACAGCAGGAGCACCAACCAATCCCTCGGATACAGCCCTCAAAGAGAAAACAAACATTGGTGGCTGTCCTAACAGAAATCGGAGCAAAAATCTTACCCAAAACAAAAAAAAATGAACATTTTTATAGTAGATAATAACTAAAATGGGGAGGCCCCTCCCCTCGGGCGGCAACCCTAGCCCATCAATAAGGGCAGCCGGCCCTCCATTCCTCTTGTCTAAACTAAACCAGCTGGTTCAACCAGTTTAGCCCCCGCGTAAGTGACTAATAATTTTGGGGCATTTACAAATATAACGTCTAATTCCAATGTATTTACATATCGAATACCAAAACGTTCCTTTTTATATCTATCACCCAAATTATTCACATCACATCAAAAATACCACAAAATTAATCTTTAAAAAGAGATGCACACTTTCATGCATAGTTAAGGAAGTATGTATGCAAAAATTAAAGTTTAGGTGTTACATATGAAAATAAATAGGAATTGAATTATGTAAGTAAATGTTCCAATAAATTCTTAGAGCGCAGTTCATATGAGGAATCAGAACCTGCAATCAACAAAAAACCATGAAAAAGGAAACAGTATTTATGACGGTTTTCTCTAATGAAACTTTCAAATCATTTCTTGGAATAGGTCCTTTGTTCAACTATCAGCCAAATATCAAATCATAGCTGAACAAAATATTTACATACCCAATGCATCCTTCAGTTGTATAGCGCAAGTTCCCAGGATGCGGATCAGCATGCAATAATCCTGTCTCAAGTAGTTGAACTAATGTTGCTTCCACTCCTTTACTAACCTTGAATTCAAAAACACATAACACGGCAGTCAGTTTATCAAGATGACTATTTGAAAATACTGGAAACAGTAATAAAAAGAGAAATTTACATACAGGCCGCAAAATTCAAATGTATTTACATATCACACCTAAAGGTTCAAATTTACACATATAGCAGTCAAATCTTTAATATCACTTAAAAAATAGCACTATTATAACTTTTTAAAAGTGAAATCCACATTTTCATGCATAGGTTTAAAGCACCAAAGTTCTATGTGTGTAAATATGAAAGTTTAGGTGTGAGATATGTAAAAACATAAACATTTTGTGCCATGTAGGTAAATTTTCAAAAAAAAATAGCACATAGAAATCAGGAATATGATCTGTATTATAAAATAAATTTAAGAATTTATACAAAAAAGATACCTTGGCATCTCACAATGTTATTTTATCTTCAGCTTTCCCAGATTGGGCAAGTCACTAAAATTAACAAAGCAGAACAATCCAAATTTTTAGCTATTATTTTGATTGTTCAGGATAAGAATGATGGATGTCAACATCTATTTCTTCGTTAGCCTGTGAAATAATACACTTCTTCCTCTTTCTACATGTGTTGTTGAGAAATAGGACAAAACAAGGTTGGTGAGGAAGATCGTCAATAACGTTTTACATTCCAAACGTTATCCAGTAATTTACATAAAATTTTAGGAAGATTTACACGCATACCACCCAATTCTTATGTATTTAAAAATCTAACACCCAAACTTTAATTTTTTACATTTATACCACCCAACCTATGCATGATTATTTATCCTTTTATAAGCTAGAATACTAGCATTTTTAGGTGATATAAAAGATTTGGGTAGCATAAATGTAATAGGTAAAGTTTAGGTGTTAGATATGTAAATTCATAAGAATTAGGCCGTGTAGCACCGACACTTCTAAAAATGTGTCGTACCCATCTCGAACACATATTGGACATGACATGGCTTCGACACGTTTCGACACTACAAAATATGTCAAAAAAAATTTTTTTGACCCAAACAGGTCTAAGACACATCTTAACACAGCATCGAACATGGGCTCAACATGACTTTGGAAAAAAATAGGAGACATTAAGTAGAAAATTATCAATATACATGTAGCCCTAATTATACTTGTTGGTCAACCTTTTGATTTTGAAAATAATTTTTAAATTTAATTTAATATAAGAGGTATATAGTTTTGGTTTTGAAAGTAGTGTGTGTTTTAATTTTAAAAATGAGACCAAATAGATCTCATTCGTCCAATAGTCTATGTAATTGTGTCTGATACCGCGTACACTACACATTCACGAAGATAAGTGTATACCTCGGCGATTGACCCAATCATACAAATTAAGAGATTTGTTACATTTGTTCGGTCTGCGAACCTTTTATGTGTGATCGACAAGTTTCTCTATCGAATAGAAAGATTAAATAAGATTTATTTTATCTGGGTTATAAGTTCTCTATAGAGGTAATCCCCTATAATTAATTACATCCCAAATGACAAGGGTCATTTAAGAAAACTTTCAATAATGATCAAAGATACTAGTCTTCAAGAATTCAAAGTTTAGGTTTTCACGGTAGTACGTGGAAAAAAACGTGGGAGTGGCTCAAGTAAGAACAGTTATTTTCAGGAGTCAAAGGAAGGAAACGGTAGGGTTCGTCACAGATCCTGAGGAGGTCCCCAGTGACTTCCCCAACTATCCTACTGTGTGGCTGCGTTTTAGAGACGATATTATTTGAGTGTTCAGTCCAGCCAATTTTATTATTTAGGACTTACACTTGCATAATATCTAGTTATGCAAATAGCCAGCAGAGATAGGAGGGTTTACGTCGTACCCACGACAATCTCCGACACGCGGCTCGTCTCCCGTCTTCCCGTCTTCCCGTCTCGCGAGCTTTCCCGACTCGGGAATTCCCGGCTCTGCAGCTCGTCTTTCCGTCTCGCAGGTACAACTCACCTGTTTTGCGGCTCGTCTTCCCGTCTCGTGGGTACAACTCGCGATTTCTACGGCTCCTTTGCTCTCCGCACTGGAACGCTCGCTTAGAAGCCCTATTTCTAAATTAATAAAAGTTTGTTTTTGTGTTTCCACTGAATTTCACTGAGTTCCGGTATCACAAACCATCTTGAAAAAGTGAAAATTGAAGATCAAAGCCTCATTCCAAAACCTGTTGTGCCATTAATGATGTCCAGGAGATGAAACAAAAGAAAGGAAAATAAACAATTCTGAAATCTTTTACGAAACGAGAAACATGGATGCCTGTGCTCATCCAGCAGTCAGATGTACTGTTATTCAGATATATGCTTCAGAGAATAATGCTTGATAGGAATTAGAAACCGAATAAATAGATTTTCATATCCATTTCCAAATGTACTATAAAATTCAAACGCAAAACAGAACCTGATAGCAAGTTTTCAAAATGAAAATGTTCTTTTAATGGGATTGCAAAAAAAATTCTCATGAACAGTAAAGAGATTTCCAAAAGTGCAAAATCAAACACTATGCAATCTTATATTAATCAACCGTCTACACAGACATATAACTCCAAACATGAATATTTACATAATATGTATAGAAAATAGGCATAAAGACAATGTGAAGACATTTGGAAGTATTCTTGCCAAAACTCATACATCTTTAAACTTGAATGAAAGAAGACAGCCCAAATTTGATTTTGTAGCTTAAATTGCATGAGCAACAATAATACATGAATGGTATTGATTGTTGCTCTCAGAAAGAAAAGATACTTTATACAGTAAGGAAAAACAAGTTACCATTATCGTTACAAAAATATAGAACTTGCAGAAATGTTTGGGTTAAATGAAATAATTTTCTATTGAAAATCAGCAAACGACCAAGGCAGATTTCTTGAAGTAAGAAGTAAATGACAAGCTATCTTAAATTACCAAATCAAGTAGACTTCTTTTTGCCTCCATTTGCTGAACCTTCGTGAATTCATCCAACTCTACGCCATATGCTCCTGAACGTAACAGTAGGTTGTAGGGACTTTCACCTACCATCCACTCCATTGTCAAAACTCTTTTGCTGGTCAAATGTACAAGCACTTTTGGAACCGACATGAATGAATACTGGGAGTGAACTTCCTGAAAAATGAGAAGTATACGTTTCACAAGCACATTGCTGATTATTCCAATCAGAAACAACTAATTCCTAATGTTAACAACCAGCAGTCAGATACGAAAGGAGGAAAGTGTTAAAATGGTCCTCTTACTCTTTGTAGAGAATTATTTTAGTCCTAAAATTTATAAAAATGTCAATTAAGTTTTCCAACTCTTGAAACATTGGTTGAAATAATCCAAAGTGAAGACTATTTTTGCCACCGTTAAAAGAGTCTGGGAACTAACTTAGCACTTTTATAAGCTCTGGGACTAAAACGGCGCCATGTAAATAGTTATGAAACTATTTTGATATTTTACTCGATATGAAAAAGAAAAATAAAGATGAAATATACTTAGCTACCAAAAACTCGGAGGCATTTGCAGATTCTATTCGGTAATCCAGCTCACCAACTAATCCTTTGCCGAGCTCATCAGCATAAAGGTAAAGATCATTCTTTCTTTTTGCTGCTTTCTTCAAAACATTAAGCTGCAATGATACGATCAATTGTGTTAGGTGTTAGAGAACAAGAAGTTATTTTCCAGCACAATGGCAGAGATGGAAATAGAACCTCATATTGTTGTGCCCATACAACCTTATATGGTAATTTTATTTCGAAAAATGTAAATGAGCAACAATTTCTTTTTTCCTTCATGATAGAGGACAAGTCACATTTTGTACATGCTTAAGGCATAGTTTTTGTACATATTTTGTACCCTTTTGACATATTTATACAAAATGCAATATTTCAAGGATGTACAACCAAATAAAACACCTTGGCTTGAAAAAACTTCTTCCCATCAAGATACACACACACAAGGAGTAATAGCAAGTAAGCATTAGCGCATAAATGAAGTCAAACTACTTAAGAAAGCCTAGCAACTGCCCAAATCTTCGTATCTTCTCATCTTTACTTTTAACATCAACAAAACTAACACCTATCAAATTCAACTACAACAATCTCATCTTTACTCTATGTTCTTAGGGTTTAGGGTTAGGTCTAAGGTTTAGATTTAGGATTTAGGGTTTAGGGATTAGGGTTTAGATTTTAAGGCCACTAAGTGTTGATTGTTGATATATTACCATCTTCTACTCTCTATGTTCTTAACACATGAACTTGAGAATGTTTCCCATTGAAATTGTATTTTACCATCCCCATTCCTCACTACGTGTTAAGTGCCACATCCCCAACGATTTATATCCTACTTTTCAAGACAAAACCCCAATTCCACAAAATGAAACATCAGTATCTGATGTTAGTTGATATGCTTTACAGGCTTTTTCATATGATAGAAGATAATCCAAATACTAACATTTTATTAGGGATAAAATAGAAAAAGACCGATGAGTTGCCAAACAGCAAATAAGCTTACGAAATAAAACAAAAACAATAGAAGCGACTTGGCTATGGAAACTAGACGATCAGGAGGGTTAAATAAGACCAACGGCTCATATAAACAAGCTCTGAGGGATTTCCCATGCCCTCAGAAGAGCTTGCAGCTTCCATCATAACTACCAATTTGAGCCCGAGACAAAGCAAGTAAACCAAACGCTTCTCTGTCATTTGTTTTATCATGAGATTAATGAAAAAAGTTCAGCTTAGCGGTGGAGCAAGTGTGAGGCTTCAAATTAGACCAACTGTTGATCTACCAAGCATAGCTAATTTTTTTACTAGAACTAATCATGATTTCCTTATCAGTGCATTAGCTGTCAACATGCAAGATTATTCCTAAAACAATAGAGGTAAAAAGAGATACAACCAAAGTAAATGCATATGTGACTAAAAAGTTAGATCTAGTTTTTCTTCATTTTACTGATATGGTTTCTGCATGCAGAAAAAACATTACTCATGAACGGTTCCCATTCTCTGACATCCATTATCATGCTTATAACTAAACTAGTGTCACACCTCGGGTTCGAAAGGCGACGCATCCCAACAACATGAGATATGATGAAGGAAATATAAACTTGTTTTGTACACAAAAAAATAAAATTTATAAACAACAATATGAATCACAACTACAGCAGAATTACAACGGAAAAGGAATTCTAATAGTCTAGAATACAATTATGTTATGATCATGGGTATGGTTATGGCAAAAATGTACTCTATGTAAGCATCCATACGTCACACTAACAGGTATGTGTACTTTATGTATGCATATTTTTTTGTCGCTCGAAGGAGAAGGCTCGCACCTCACCTCTGTTTCGTCGACTCTCGCTCCTCATCCTCTACTTCGTCCGGACGTTACTGCGTCTCTTCGACGTCGACGGCTCGAGTCTGGGTCTATTGCGTCTCGCTCGATTTCGACCCCTACAGCTTCACACGTCTGCATTGTTCTTCTGCTTCGACGCTGACGTTCACCTCTCCCTGCCCGACAGCTTCGGTTCGCATATGCGTGTTGGGGACTTCGCAGCAGGAGATGCCGACGGCTATTATATCGGGATCTTCCAGCAAGTGGATCTCCCTGCTCTGATGGCGCTCCCTTCTTCTTTGGTTGAAACTGACAAAGTCTCTCTTACCCATGTGGTGGGTAATCTTCAGGTGGAGTCGGCGGTAGTCTTCCCCTTAAGCTATAAGGATTATCGTGATGGTACGGATGATTGTCCTTATGTTAAGAAGGGAAGTAGGAAAGATGGAAAAGCAACACTTTTTTTCTCTGACTTAGAAATTTCAACTCTGACTGAAAAATTCAAGTTTGATCTTATTGAAAAATTTTAGTGGGGACACTCATCTATGGAAGTTATCAGAAAAAGTATTGATGATCTCAAACTAGTAGGCAAGTGGATAGTCAGACTCATGGATGGGAGACGTGTTGATTCAACTAACCATGACGGAAGACTACACCCAGATTTTCTCCAAGAAATATATTTATATTGCAGCAAGTCAATGAAGTTACTCAAGTGATCTACTGATTTCGACTCAAATCATGAAACTCTCACTGTACCGGTATGGTTTGGTCTACCTGGTCTCAAACTGCACTTTTTTCATCATCAGGTTCTCTACTTTATTGGAGTCATTCTTAGGGACCCTATGAAGCTAGATCTACCCACTTTCAACCTAACCACACCTTCTGTGACCAGAATACTTGTGGAAAAGGATATTACTTTACCTGATGTTACTGAAGTATGGCTAGGTACAACTCATAATGGATATTGGCAACAAATCGTTATGTAACACAGACCTCCTTATTGACTTATTGTAAGATGTTTGGGTATACCCTTGATAAATGTCACAAGTTATATCCTAATTAAAAATCTAAGGTTCAAGTGAATAAGGATGGGTCTAACTCCACTGCTCTGGACATATTTGTTCCACCTAGGGAGAAAATTACCACAAGACAGAATTTGATGTCTGATTTAATTGCCCCTGTGGACCTCCCTTGACACTACCGTTATTGTTTTTGCGATTGATGTGATGTTATATGGCTCTGCTGGGCAACCTACACCTTCAAACCCCATTAAAAACAATACTGAAGGACTATTACCTACAAAGAATAGTGTTCAGACTAATAATCAGGAGAACCTTACACCTCTCCATCTTCAAGAAGTATCCGATGTAGAGGCAACAACTCATACATCACATATACTAGAACATATTGTGAGTACAACGGTTGCTAATCTTTCTGCTATAACTCTACCTCCTCATCAAAGTGATTCTTTGGATGAGGAATGACAGATTTACACTTTCAGGAGGAAGAAAAAGAATAAAGATCTACTTGAGCTCGGGAATATTATGTATGATACTTTGGTTACTTCGGGTAATGGTACGCACCTCACCAATTTGTTAGCTGGATCCTTTCCGAGAACTAAAGGCAGAGGCAGGACTAAATTGGATCGACACTCACTTTTCTTGGGTTTTTTTTTTTATTTTAATATGTACCCTTTCTTTTTTTTGAGTTTTTTGTGTGTTGTAAACTGTGGGCTGGGTGTCTACTTTTGGGCTAACTCATACAATCTATCTGTATCATTTTCTCTTTAATATATTAGCCTTTGGGCTTTTAAAAAATGTGTGTGTGTGTGTGTGTGCAGAGTAATCCAAAAAACAATCAAATGTGAATATTATTTCTAAAAAATTGAAGGAATAATAACAAAAGTTCTTAAAATGGGAAACAAAATACACAAAGCACAAAGAAGCCTCTAAGGCAAGGGAGAATGTGAAGAACCCCAGATGGACAGCAGGTGTGGGGGTGGTTTGGAAGGTTGCAACAATAAGTAAGGTTGCGAAAAGGGGAAGCAGAAGAAGGTCGGGTTGCTAGAAGGGTGGTGGAATGAAAGGAGGGTGGTATGAAAGGTTGGAGGCAGCAGGAAGAGGCGCAGGAGGACCGGCGGCCGCAGGTCTGGTGCAGGAGGCTAGCGGCATCAGGTAGAGGCGCTGGGAGAGCTGGCGGCGGAAGGTAGAGGGGAAGAAAAGCTTGGAAACCAAGAAGGGGTCGACAGAGTGTCGACAACAGGAACCAGGAAGGTGGGAAGCGCGGGGAAGAGGACAGCGACCTGGGAATGGAAATATGGAGAGGATTTATAGAGATGATCATCACCTCATAGCAGATTACAGTCGGAGCACCACCTGTCCTCGAATATAACCCTAGGAAAGTAGAACCACTCCGATGGTGAGAAATTTGAAAACAAAAAAGAGACTAAACCGTAAACAACAAAGCAACATATTTATAGTGGTGATAACTAGGAGGGGACAACAACACTTAGCCCTAAGTACGGTCGGTTCAACCTCCCTATTGGACTGGCCACATCCTTGTTGAGCCAGTTTAGCCAGTTCAACCCGGAAAATTATTCCCTCAGTACTACGTACCTTAAGCTACGTGCGTAACCAATAAATTGCCGCGATGTGTAAACTCTGGCCCCACCTATTAAAGCAGATAAAATTAAAATAAATATTTATTTAAATCGTATTCGCGACCCAGCCTGAGCGAAAACCCGAACCCGCCTGCCTTTTCATTTTCTTCGAACTACTTCATTTTCTACGCACTTTTTCGATTTTAGGGCTTAGTCTTCCTAGCGAAACCCTCAGGCAAAGCGCATCCTCCGACGAAACCCTCCGGCGAAACGCATCCTCCGGCGCAAGCGAAGGTCACCATGGCGTCCAGTCGTTCGTTAAAATCACGGTATGCACCTAAACCAGATAATGAAATACGAGTAACACATCAGTAACACAACAATAGCGCAACAATACCACATCAATAGCATAACACACTAGTAATATACCAGTAATACATCAAAAATACAACAATACCACATCAATACCACACAAGTAACACATCATGGATTTGAATCATTAGCACGGAAAAAACCCTACTCAATAACTGCATAAAACCAAATTCGATGGACTCACAGATATCTCCATGACATAGTTTTGATGTGTTATTCTTATATTATTCGTGTTTTATTCATCTATTTTTTACCTGTGGTTTAAATGTTATTAGTGTGTTACTCATGCATTATTTTCATGTTATTCATGTATTATTGATGTGATA